CTAGACAGGCACTCTACAACTTGAGCCACTCCACTAGCCCAATTCTGTGATTCTAGGGCAAGAGATGCCCAAAACTGAAGGAGGAAGAGAAGGGCAACAGTCAACACGTCCAGACTGGCCATCTGGAGCTCCCTCCCCGACCTGCTCATCAGAGTCCCCCACACCAGCCAACTGGACCTTCCCTGACTGGTCCATTGGAGACCCCCGTGAGCTGCCAGTTGGACCCCACATGCTGATGTCAGGGACATATCTGACTAAATAACGCATATTCATTTCACTTGCCTCCTCTACCTTCCCTCACGGGACTCCCTAGACAGCTGGAACCCATATAGGCTTCATCCTACCTCCATGGTCTCCCAGATGGTAAACCCTGAGCAGAGCTCATCTGTGGTACGCAAAGAACGCTCTTGAACCTGACACAGAGGAGGCACTCAGTTAACAATCGTTGGCTTGAGTGAAGGGTGCCTCAGTTTACCCCTGAGGATACTGAGACCCAGAAGTACTGGGTCACTGGCCGTAAAGAAGGGGCCACTAGGTAATTTGTGGGACTCAGTGGAAAATGAGAATGTGAGACCTCTACTCCCTGTACCTGAGGCAGCAAGCTGGATGGCAGGACCCCATCCAGCTGTAGGGGCCACATGGCCACGAAGCATGCCTTACTCCAAGATCAAGTCCTTGACAAGGGGCTGAGCTGGGACTGTAACCCTGACATCACAGGGAGGTTGAATGGGAATAACTGGTGGTTCTGAGCCACAGAGCCAGTCTGGGGGGCACAGCAGAGGGGGAGAGGGCCCGGGACCTGGCTGGGTCCCTGCTCCTGGTGCCCTGGGCAGCTGGGGATGCTCAGGCCTCGGGGAGAATACAGCACATTACCTCTAGAGACTCCACCTCTACCAACTGAAACAACCTCATTGGTGGTCGGTAACTTAATCAAATCTGCAGTTTGATTAGGTTAAGGACCACAACACGACATCATCCTGGAATAGGGCAGGGCCTAAGTCCAACCACAGGTGTCCTGAGACAAGAAGGGGACAAGGCAGAAGAGGAGGAGTCCATGTGAAGATAGAGGCAGAGAATGGAAGAGGTATCCACACTGGGGACAGAAACGAGGTCCCTAGAGCCATCCCCCAGCTTCAGATCTTACCTGGCAAAACTGTGTGGCCCCAGGCAAACTGCATTACCTCTCTGGGCCTCAGCCTCCTCACCTGGAAACTGGGACTTCTTGGGATTTGTCTTGGAGACAATGAGTTAATCCACATAGAATACACAGAACAGGGTCTTGCCCACACTGAGCCCTCAATACGAATTACCCATTTATTCCTATTACTTTAACTGCTGTTCTGGTTTCTGGAATTTACCCCAAAGAAGTAATAATAAAATAATCGGAGAGCCAAGATGTTCAGCATAGTTTTATCTACAAAAGCAACTAGTTGGAAATAACTCAAAGACTAACTCTTGGCAGAATCTAATAGAGAACATGACCGCAGTATCACTGCCTCGAAAAACATGACATGCACCTAGAAGTTAAATAAAAAATAAGACAACACAGGAAGCCAGGTGTAGTGGCTCACTGCTATAATCCTAGCTACACTGGAGGCAGAGATCAGGAAGATTGTGGTTTGAGGTCAGCTCTGTAAAAAGTTCTCGACCAATGGCTGTGCATGGTGGCACATGCCTGTCATCCCAGCTATGTGGGAAGCATAAATAGGAGGACTGGGGTCCAGACCAGCTGGGGCATAAAGCAAGACCCTATCTCAAAATAACCAAAGCAAAATGGGCTGGTGGAGTAGCTCAAGTGACAGAGAGTTTACCTAGCAAGCATAAGGCCCTGAGTTCAAGCCCCAGGACTGCCCAAATAAACGAAACAAAACAAAGAGAGCACAAACCCATCCTTGTGTGATGAGCAGGAGGGAAGGGTACACGGGAAACCACTGTCGAGGCCTGTGAGGACGGTCAGCGCCCTCGGGGAGAATGAAGGCCAGGCTCCTGGAGGAGGAGGGTCTGAGCTGATGGCCTGGATCTATCTTGGCTATGTGCACAGTGAGGAGTCTGTGCCTTCACCCACCCCACGCCCTGGGTCACACCCAGACCTGTGCTGGCCCCGTCACCTCCAGGGACCCAGGCTGGGCAGGGCAGGCAATGAAAAATGTATGAGCTGGCCTGGCTGAGGCACCGGCACCCCTCCAGCACTCAGCAGGCCAAGGGCAGGCTGGAAAAGTTGCCCTCTTAAAAGCTCCCAGCCACAGAGGCGCTTAGCTCTGCCTGAGCTTTTAGCCTTGCTATGGGGGAGGGGGAGGTGAGGGTGTATTTCCCAGGTACCACCAGCATCTTGCAGGGGCTTCCTGCTTGGGGCTGGAAGGAAGGTGGACTCAGGGGATATATCCAGGGCCAGGTTCCTTTGTCAAAATGTTCAGACACAACAGCCAGGAGGTGGCAACAACACAAGTGTCCTTAGTCAAATGAACAGATAAACCAAATGTGGCCCCCAAAGGCCCATGGATGGAAGGTTTGGGCGTAGCCCCTGGCACCATGCAGGGGGCAGGGGACTGCAGGAACCTTTAGGAGGAGGGGGCTAGTGGGAGGAAGTTAGGTCATGGGGGGTGTGCCCTTGAGGAATACATTGGGACCCTAGGCCCTCATCTTCTCCCGTTCTCTCTTTTGCTTCCTAGCCATCATGAGGTGATAGCATCTTCAGCCATGCACTTCCACCATGATGTACTGGACCACCACACATCCAAAGCATGGGGCCAGGTGACCACAGACTGAAACCTCTGCATCGGTGAACCCCCAAAAAACGTTTCTTTCTTATAATTTGTTTGCTGGGTGCTGGTGGTTCATGCCTGCAATCCTAGCTACTCAGGAAGCTGAGATCGGAGGATCAAGGTTTGAGGCCAGCCTGGGCAAATAGTTTGAGGGACCCTCATCTCCAAAATTATCAGAGCAAAATGGGCTGGAAGTGTGGCTCAAGTGGTAGAGCACCTGCTTTGCAAGCACTAAGCCCTAAGCTCAAACCCCAGTTCCCACCACACAAAAAAGTTGTTTATCACAGGTATTCTGTGACAGTAATGCAAGGGACCAACACAATTCACATGCTGGAATATCACTCAGCTCCCGAAAGGAAAGAAGCAGCTACATTCCAGGACATGGTTGATTCAGGCACCAGACACCAAGGGCAAACACAACGTAACACATCACATGAGCTTACTAGAGCCTCAGACCCCAGAAGCAGAGGGTAGGAGGAAGCTGTCGGGGCCGTGGGAGCTGGGCAGGCCATGTTGAAGGGGACAGTTTCAGGCTGGGAAGATGAGTTCTTTCTGGAGGTGGATGGTGGGGGGAGTTACACAGAATGTGAATGTGTTCAATCCTCTGAACCGTGTACATCTTATGTCACGTCTGTTCCACCACAGTGAAGGACAAAACAACACAAAGATGTCCTGAAGCCAGCTCTATGCCTGCTGGTCACTGGGGAGACCCATGGCCACATCAAGGGTTAAACCTCCAGCTACCAACTGCTCCTAGATTGGTCTCCATAGCTCACTGATACTCATTCCACGCACATCTCCCACTCCTCCATGGGCCTGGCCTGGGGCTCAGTTGGAGCCAGGTCCTGAAGGACACGTGAACTGACCACGCTGCCCCATTATCTTGGGCCTCTTTGCCAACAATGCCCCCATTCTCTCCAGGGGAAACACTGCTCCCCCTTTGCATGAAGTCTTGGTGGGGCTGTCAGTCAAGATGCTCATCCTCTAGGCTGAAGGGCGGGCACAAGACCTCATCTGGACCAATCACAGGCTCTCCTGGCTGCACTTTCCCAGGCTCCTTGCTGCATTTCCCCACCACCTCCAGGGGGCACCGTCTCCGCTCACCTTAAGGAGAATCATCTTCCATGGCTTGCAGCCAAAACCCCTAAGCCTTTCTGGAGTTTAGAGAGTAGGCTACACAGCTGGTATATGGCACGAAAGCAGGAATAAGACCAACCATCATAGTAGTGGCCATGATAGCAGAGTGAGTGCTGGTGCCAGGCTCTCCTGGTGAACCCACAGGCCCTGTCATGACTCCATCTTACTGACAAGGAAGCCAAGGCCCTGGTTCCAGGTCTCCTGGCAGCAAGGCTAACCTTTCACCAAAGGGCAGGAAGGATAATGGAGAGAAAGGACACGAGCAAGAGGCTGCTGCAGTCACACACGGTGGCCTCGGAGCAGGCAAGGAGTTTGGCGTTCAGGCCAACAGCCATGTGCATATGGGGTACTTGGTATGTCTTACGCAGCAGGCCACCTGGAAAATGCACCAGAAGGTGAGAGCTGAGGCCAGTGGGGCTCTCTGGCCTGTGTAGGCTGCAGATATGAAGGGAGCTGTGGTCAGGCCAGAGATGTCCAAAAGGCAGAGTTGGACCAGTGGGCCTGTGACACCTGGGCCAGGACCATCAAGGGAAGCTCCTGGACCTCAGGCTGGGAGACGAAGGGAGGGCGCCCAGCATGTGTCATAGCACAGAGCAGGGGACTTCCAGTGGGAGTCTTCTGTGTGGGCCACACTGGCCTGACCTGTCTTCTGGATAGAAAATTCCAGACACCATAGCAGATGTCTGAGCTGCCTCTGCCAACACCATGTACACCCTTCAATGACCTTATGTCCTTCTAGAACTTTTTCTTTGCATCAGGGTGGATGGACCTCCTATCTGGGGGATGACAGGCCACTGTGTCCTGGGAGACAACACCCCAAGTACACCTGGCCCTTGCCCAGGCTTTTCTGCTTCTTCACTCTCCTTGCCTGGGACGGGGGAAACTGAGACCCAAGGGCACTGCGACTTTCCCTCATTACCATCTGCTAGTGAAAGGAAGGCCTAGAGGAAGACTCAGGCAGGGCAAACATTTATAGAACACCTACTGTGTACTGGGGCTGCCTCTCCCTCTCCAGGTCAGTGATCCAGACCTTCACTCTCTCCACCTTATCTGTCTGACTCCCTGTCCCCTCGCCCCCAGAACCCCCAGCCTTCACCTCACCTTTTAGACAGGACAGCTTGAGCCCCATGTCGTCACCTCTGTGGGCCTGTGGAAAGAGGGGAGCAGTCAGAGAAGGTCGGGGTACTTCTCTGTATTGGCCATGTGTGGCCAGATTCCCATCCCAGCCAGCTGGGTGCAACAGGAAGTAGGGAAGAAACAAACCAGCTATGAGGTCACAGTGCTTGCTGACTGCATCTGGGTTGCACTGCTCACAAACAGAGTCTGTGCTGGGGGAAAAACTTTCTGGTGTCTCATAACTAAACATACTGGAGCACAGTGTGGCTTCTGGCCAGCCAAGTTCAAGGTGAGATTGGCTGGGCTGATGGTGTGGAAGCAACATGTCCAGCCTTTCCTTGTGGAACTGCAGAATAGTGGTCAGGTGCAGGGATGGAAGACCCTCAGGCCAGGCCATGGGTGGCCAAAGCCTACCATGATGGATGTGCTTTCTGTCATAAGCTTGCCCCTGACTCCATTTTTAAGGTCTCTAATCAATGACCTTGGTGTCTACTATATTACTTTATTGCAGTGTTGGGGATGGAACCCAGGGCCTCACCCATCTTAGGCAAGTGTTCCACCACTCAGCCACACCCCCAATCTCCTGCCCCTCATTTCCATGAAGACTTGGAAGTCTAATGGATTAAGATAAAAGGTCTCCAGTCCCTGGGGAAACCCCCATTCCCACAACATTCCTGCAACTGATGTGTCTTTAAAACTCTGAATGATTGATAAAAGCCACAGCTGGAGCCCTGGCACACTCTTGGCCATCTCTAGAAACAGCCCCGTGAAGTGCTCTTACCACTCCATTTGACGGATGTGCAAATCAAGGCTCAGAGCTCTGGCGTCTGCAGCTCAAGGGCACTCAGCTTACTGAGAGTCCTGGAGCTGGGATGAAACTCAGGCTGCCCTGACCCCAGGCTGCAGCCCCAGCTCACAAGGTCTGGGATGGCTGGGCAGGCCCTTTAGGACAGGGAACATTTGCTCCTACCTGGAAGGTTCCAGAGCCTCTGACAGACTGATGGGAGCTAAATGCATTCCTGAGATCTGCCTATGTGCCAGGCTCTGAGCTACGCTGGAAGGGTGAGGGGATGGGAGGGCACCAGGACCCCTGGTGGGCCACTAGGTTTGCAAACTGTCCTTAGGTGGTGCAGTTGCCTGGGGTGACCTGTTTTCCTCATTGCTGTGGTCAGTTCCACATCCCATAGCAATCCTGGCCTCCCTCAGGAATTTCTTGTGTATTTCTCATCAAAGCATCTGGTCTCAGAGGACCCAGACTAGCACAGGTGGACATAAGGCAGTACAGGGTGTCACACCTGCATTGTGCAGACAAGCAGACAAGTGACCCCCACAGATATAGTAAGGGGATGGGAGAGGCTCTGGCCAGTGGGAGG